CTTCTACGGCGTGCTCAGGGACTTCCAGGGCACCTCGTGGGACTGCGTCCTGCAGGGAGCCCTGTCCACCTTCGCCAACACCAGCTCCTTCTTCTGGACCATGGCCATCGCGCTCTACCTGTACCTGAGCATCGTCAGGGGCTCCCCCGCGGGCCAGGGCTTGCTCTGGGGCTTCCACGCCGTCAGGTGGGTGCTGTGTGCTGTGCTGGGTGTCTGTCCCCTGAGTCTCTGTCCTTTCCTTCTCCTCCTCTTCCCCTCAGGTTCCTTTTGAACAGGGATTTTGGTGGATTTTAACTAACCGACCCTGCTTGTTTCCCCTTTCCCTTCCCAAGTGAGCAGTTGGAGACGTGGAAAAGCTGGAGTGTTTTTTTTTTTGTTCAAGGTCGCTTAGAAAATTCTCTGGCAAGTTCTAATGACTAGAAATCCTGGCTTGGCTTTCCCTGCAGTCTGCTCTGATGTTGTAGAAATAATATAACAAACCCTGTGTCTGTGATACCTGCCTGCTGCTGCCCAAGCTCCTGTGTCTGGGATCTGTTTGCACAGGTCCCCAGTTCTCTGTCAGCCTGGTGTGTGGATCCTCCCCTCTGCCCAGGCAGGTTGCTGTAATCCCACACTCACAGGAGAATGTTCCTCACATGTGGTGAAACTGCCGGGGAAGCGCTCTGAAGGTTGTTTTGGCATGTTTGATTGAAAGCAAGACAAACCAGTCCACAGCGTAGCTTTATGTCTCAGTTTCTGCTATTTAGGGCACTGGTTCTCCACATCATGTTTAGTAAAAGCTTTCATTATGCAATTGGAGCTTGTGGAATCATGTGCTGTGTCCACGCTGAGCAAAACAGTGATCCCTTAGTCCTCCGTGCTGCCAAGCTCCTGCAATAAATTATAAGAGCAGAGATCTGTTTTAAAAGGGAATAAATAAAAAAAAAAGCCCTCAGGACAAGTAGAGAATTTTCTTTGGTTTCTTAGTCAAATATTTGACACCTTTTAGTTTCAAACAGTAGAGCTGAGCCCAGCTGAGGATGGGCAGAGAGGCTTTGAGGCTGAGGGTGAGCCAGGGAAGGGAATTTCAGCCCTGGGATTGCTGCTGGTGAGGACTTGGGGGGCTGCACAGGGCCCTGGGCACCCCGGGCTGCTGCTGGAGCTGGGGAAGGTGCCCTGCAGGAGAATTAATAATGGGTAATAATGAGAATTAATAATGATGTTATCCCATCTGCAGCAAAGCAGAGTTGCACTCTCAGAGCTGTGGTGAGGGCAGGGTGCTCCTAAAGAGCCACGTGTTGCTAAATGGATGTAAAACCCAAGTCTGGCTCCTTCCTGGGCATCCTGGCTCCACCAGGCACATCAAAGGGCTCAGGCAAATCTGGCCTAGTGGTAATTTTCCTGTCTGCTAATTGCCTGTGTGGCTTTTGTCTGTGCTTCAGTTTCTCCATCTGGTTTAGTGCTCCTCAGCCTTGTCAGCTACCGAGTGTGGAGACAAACAGAGGCACTGAAACAGAGCTGGCTGCAGTCTGTGCACTCCCTGAAAACTAAAAATCCTGGAGGGAGAGAGATTGCTCTACCCCTGGCACAGAGGGAGAGATGCTCTGGGGGGATTTGTTCAGTTTATTTTCGGTTCTTTACAATGAAAATGAAATGCCATCTTCAGTCCCTGCTATTGATCAGCACCATCTGCTCTGTTTAAATTCTGTTGAGCACCTGTGATCAGGTTCTGCTTTGTAAATGCCTGTTCTGTGCAGAGCCAGTGTTTAAAGGTGTTTCTGCTTTATGATGTGTCTGAGAAGGCAGAGACAACAAGTGAGGACGTGTTCTGTGCCCATCCCCTCATGACACATCACCCTGCCTTCCTTCCCTGCGCCTTTGTAGTTACCTGAGAAATTAAATTCTGAATATAATCCTTGGGGATGGAGCTGGCTAAATACACGTTGGAAGCCAGAACCTGGAATTTTCCTGAGGGAGTCAGGGTGTCACAGCGGCTCAGACCCGTCAGGCAGGTTTGTGCCGCAGGGATTCCTGTGGGAGCGCATCCACCAATGCCAGCCTGCAGAGCTGCACCTCTGCTTTGCTTCTAAACCTGTTGAGCTTTGAAAACAAGCCTGCAGCCAGCTTTGGGAGCGCTTAGGTAGCTGCAGAATGTCAGTTCTGGCAGTGCCAATGGCCAGGCTGCCTCACTGCTCTGAATTCCCCAGGGCTGGGAATCACCTGCTGGAAAACATCACCTTTGTTGAGAGAGAAATTCATCCAAACTTGGGGTGAGGAATGGAGCAGGCAGAGCCCACCTTGGGGTTGTTTCCTGCTTGCCTTTTGGTGCCAATTGCTGACCATGTTTTGTAGGGTTTTAATTTCATGATCAGGCTGTGCAGATCATTATAACCACAAATATATTACTTTTAAAAATCTATAACATATGTATGCTTATATATTAAAATATATGACATATACATATATAACATGAAGAGATATGCATGGTTATAAATGTGTGTGTATATATATTAAAATATGTTTTATATACATACACATTTATAACTACCTATAAATGTATCCTATCTATAATGCATATCTATTCAGGTTATATATTAAAATATATGTTTTATATATATAAATACACATTTATAACAATGCCTATCTATTCATGTTATATATAAAAATATGTTTTATATATATATACATATTTTTATATATTTATTTATTTATATATATATATATATAAATTTTAATATATAACATGAATAGATGTTCCTCCTGCACTGCCTGGGATGTCCAGGATTTTTCCCTCCTCACAAATTCCTGTCCCCAAAAGGAGCTGCCTGCAGGCAGGATGGCTCCTTGGCTAACCTGTGCAGGCAGGTGACAGCAGCTCACCTGGTTGTCAGAGCCCTCAGGGGGAAAAGCAGTGCAGCACAAATCAAAATGTGCTTATTGGGCAATCTGACCCCAGAGAACCAGGGCAAGTCCAGCTGAACGCTGCTGGAGCTGAAGGGGCCTCACCTTGCCTTGCTTTGGTGTGGCTGTGCAAAGATCTGCTGGGTTGGAGGATATTTTTATTCATAGATCAGCAGGAGCTGTGTTGGAGGAATAAATGCTGCTGTGTCTGCCTTGCAGGTTGGATTTCCAGCTTTGTACAGGAATGGGGAGTCACCTTCCCTTCTCTCCCACTCTGTTTGCATCCAGGTGTGCTGTGGAGAGCCCAGCTACAGAATTGCTCTTTGGGATTTAGGGGATATTTCTGCTCTCTGTTATCTGGGATCCCTTTTATTGCAGTGCTCACCCACACCGTGCTGATGATCTGTCCTGGTTCAGTTCCTGCCCTCCCAGCCCAGTGAAAGCTCTGACATTTGGCAGCCCCCCTGCATCTGTGGAGCTCCTGAGAACAACTGAACCTCCACTCTCGGTTCTCCTTTCCAGCTGCTGACATGGAGCTGGGCTTCACAGAAATGCCTGATTCCTTCCTAGCTCCGCTCTGATTTCCCTCTGTTGGTAATCCTTCTGCCTGGTGTCAGTGGTAAATGTCCATCTGATCCCAGAATATTCCAGTGAAATGAACTCCTGTTAATGCAGCAGTTTTGTTCTTCCTTTCCCCAGTTATCTCCTGAAGGTTTTTAAGTCCCTTTCTCAGTGGTGAGTTGTTTCCTCTGTGTCTGTGCTTACCCTGTCCTGCCTTACATCCACGCTCCATCATTTCACCTGGTTTTATCATCATTCTTTTGCAGTTTCAGCTCACTGATGAGATCATTATTTGTAAAACCGTGTAAAATTAGTTTCTCCATTAACTTCCTTTTTCTTGCTGCCTTTGTGCCTTTCCATGGTTTCTTTTAGGAAGTGCCATTTCTCTTTAATTCTCTACCTTAGTGCAGCAGTGCTGAGAGTGGAATGTCTTTGCATTTGCAGTTGTTTTCTGAGAAATCCCCAGTTTCACCAAAAGGGCTCCTGAGCTGTGTGGAAACTTTCCTGGTGGTGGTGGTGACGTTTGGGATGTTTTTAGAAGTCTGCTCTGATAACAGAGTGGGGAGGGCTTCCTGCAGCACCCCTGTCCTTAAATAACAGCCCTGGCTTGGAATAGCACTGCCTGTTCTGAGCTGAGCCTGAGACAAAATGTTCCACACGGGCTGCACATTGACTCCGAAGGTTTTTACAGCCTTATATTTATATTTGTTTGTTTTGTCAGTAGGTGAATCCAGACATTATTTCAGAGTAGGAAATGGGGTATTTTTGAAATCTAATACCATGGGATTATCTCTGGTGCTGCAGTTGGAGTTTCAGATAATCTGGTCAAGGCAGCTGCTCTTTGCCCACCTGGTCTGGAATCTGATTTTTGGGGGCAGGATCCTCCCTATGCTCCCTGCAGCTGCTCCAGGCTGTCAGAGGAGGGCTGTGTGAGAGGAAGGCAGTCCTGGGTTTGTTTTCTGGGCACCTGGGAGAGAGGAGG